TGCTTTTTCTACTTGGGGAAACCTAAGTGTGTAGAATGTTTTCCTTTTTTTTTAAATCCATGCCTTTCAAAGCATTTGAGAACAGTTGATTTGTATTTTCTCCTCACATGTTGTCAAAGACAGTGCTAGAGACCTGGAAAGACTCACTTTGATCTGAAGGTAGTTTTGCTTGCCATGTGCTTGTGCAATTGAGCACTACCTGATAATCAAAACCAACTCTCCAAACCTGAGCTTAGTCCTTCGACACCTTATTTGAGTCTTTGGGGGAAAGTTTAAACCTTTATATCTTCATCTGTCAAATGAGCTGATCCAAGTTCCAAACAATATTACACTCAATGATTTTTAACCACTGCGGAAGATGGAGCAATCACAAAAGGCTGTTACTTGTGTTAGGTAGTGGTGTATACATTAACAAAATTATTCATAGGTGAAGTGTACTCGTGTTGGGTCCTCTGCTTGGTGTCCACGTAACTCCCACTCCTATCTTCAGCATATTCCTAGCATTCCCCATGTACTCAGTGCCTTCACGAATTCCAGAATCCTTCCTACTTTCTGTTTCTGTCTCCTTCCACCTTTATCAAAACTTACCCATCAAATGCCTCATAACTATAGGCTTCTGTATTCCACGTCACTTAAACAAGTCACTTAGTTTCTGGGCCTCTGTTTTCCCATAAGTAAAATAAAGGGATTGAAATAGATGACCTTGAAGGCCTCATCCAGTTTTAAAATTGCATGAGTCAATACTTGTGTTAATGTGGAATCTCATAAATGTGCTTTACTTCCTGATAGAGGAGTTTGGTGGAATCATAAAGACCAGATTATGGAAACTCCCTGGGAACATCACAATTTAACCTAGTTAAAATGATTTTCAAACACTAATGGTAGGCATTTCAGGGACTTCCTCATGAATTTTGATTTCCTTCAAATCACACTCCATAAATGGCTACCTATTTTATTTATGCCTATAGTCAACTCTTCCTGTTTGTTTCCAGGTAGCAAATATCCACAGTCATTTTGTAAGAAGAAGGAGATTTACGTGTATTCTTTTGGACTTAACTCCTTACTCATTTAGTTGAGCTCAGATCCTCTTAGGAAATAAACAATATTTCTGAGGTTTTTTTTTTAAGCAGATTTTCCTTTTCTGTTGGTATCATCCCAGCCATACTTTCCAAGATTGTTCATTATGACCAACCCTTCCAAAATAATGTCTCAGTCTAAAAGCAATTGCTTCTCCCAGTGCTACTCACGGATCAGATGTCTTCTTTAAAAAAAAAAAAAAATCTCCTCCTGAAGCACAGCTCATCCAGTGATATTAACACCAAGTTTCCTGACTAGCTTTTGGGCATTTTACGTTTCTATGATGAGACACCAGCTTGATTTTCCCCAGGTTAAGGGAAAAGACAAACCATGGCAGATTTTTTTTCTTTTGGCTTCTCTTTCTTTTAAAACAAAGAACAAAATGACATATCCAAATTTGAGACATCTGGATGTTTCCCATCATGTGGCTTAAACATCTGCATTTTTTCACTTCTCATCCAGATGTTTTGGTCTTATGTAAACCTAGCTAAAGTGAAGGAGAATATCAAGCAATCATCTGGGGACTTTGATTAACATGGACAGCAAATCTGAATAATCCATGCTCTGAGAGTCCTGTTTTTTGTCTAGCTCAGAACACATTACTAATGAGGTCAAAGTTACCATAGGTTTGTTCCTTGTATGGGCCAGTTAGCTCTGATCTGTTCCCTGACCACAGAACGCACCTCTAGACTCAGCCAGCTGTCTGGAAAAGGATTGTCCTTGGTCCTACAGGCAGACATGCAAGAAGCTGAATATCCAACCTCTATCACTTGGAAAGTAAATAAAAATGCATTTTTCATGGACGGTTTGGTCAGTGGCGTTATTTTTGTATAAAAATAATAATTATAATAGTAGATCTTATATAGTGCTTACTATGTCAAACACTGTTCTAAGCACTTTACACACATTAATTCACAATGTTCACAACAACTCCACGAATATTATTATTATTATTCTTATTTTACAGGTGAGGAAATAAAGGCATGAAAGTTTAAGTAATTTGCCCAGGATGAAAATGGGTGGTGTTTTCATTTTTTCTGTTCATTTTCCCACATTCCCTCTGTTCAAAAGGTTGGGGGGAACTCACAATGTATTGGCTGTTTCGAAAATATGCCAAGGGATAACAGAAACCTGGATGTTTCTGCATATTGAGTTCTTGGATGGAACTGCTACTGTGGCACACCCTGTGCCTAGTAAAGGAGGTTAATCTAATCCCTATTCTTCCACCCAATACGATAATTATAGGCATACAAGCACCCTTTGTAAAAAAGAAAGGAAATGTTTTTATTGGCAATAAGTCAGTATATAAAGTATATATTTAGAAAAGGACTATGTGGTTAGGAGCAATGAACTACATTGGGTGGCCTCATAGAACAAAATTGTCTGAATGCTCTGAGGAAGAATGATTTGTTTGACTGGCAAAATGCTTAAGAAACTTTGATCTCCAACCACAAATTGACTTAGAATCCTAAAATCCTAGACCTAGACAGCACATAAAGAGATAATCTAATCCATTATTTTTCTTTTTTTAAAATTGGAAACAATAAAAAACAATTGCTTGCTGAAAAAAGCAAATGAAAACATGTCCCTCATATTTTTAAGGACTCCAGGAACTGAAACTTCACAGATGCTCTCAAATTCATTTGTCCATTTAATCAAGAAATGTGATGTGAGCACTTACTCTGTGACCAGTACTGCTATGAGTGCTTGAACTATATAGTAAGGAATAAGACATGGCCATTGATCTTCAGAAACTCATCATCTATTCTGGTGTTTTCTGCTTCAGAAGGTAAACGCTCTCCTTCCTATAACTTTCCTGCCTTTTGTTTCATCTTCTGGCATTATGGAAAAGAATTTTTCAACATCTTACTAATGGACTGTATTCATTAAACTTCATTTCCTTTTCCTTCCCGGCAAACAGCTAGACTACATTTCCTACCCACTCCCCACTCCCTATCTCCACTACCCGCCTTGGAATGTGAGTGGTGTTTATGGGCCATCTTGTGCCAACCTCCATGTTCTCTCCACTCATCTATAGGCTCCTTGGACCTAGAGGAAATCAGAAGAACAAAATAGAAAGAGCCTATTTCTGAATGACTGTGGAGCAGAGCCTCTCCCCATAACCTTTTCCAATCCTCATTAGACTGTGATGTGATCAAGCAATACATTTTTATTGTGTTAAGCTGCAGGATTTGGGTTGTTGTCCTTAACAATAGTTATTTACTCTTACTAATACAATGTCCTTTATAAAATCTCCTTAATAATTTTAAAGACAGCAATATTCCACCTTCAATTTTGGTGAAAATTTGGTTCCTTGAGTTCAAATCTTACATAGTTATCAATTATTTATTGTTCTTCACAGAATCGCTCTCTGCACCTCCCCCGACAACTTCAACACACTTCAACATAGTCCTTCTCGCTCTTTGTGAACCTTGTCCAGTTTCTCTATTTTAAAACTGGTGACAAACACCCCCAATCTCTGCTTCCTGGAGCTCTCTCTGATTGAATAACTTCAATGGCTTTATCTTAAGATCATAATTCTTTACTCCAAAGTGAGGTGAGGAAATTAAATAGAATCAGAAGATGAGACCTAAAGGACCAAACTCCATCAATTCCTTCTTTGAGAATTTGAGATTATACTCAGTAGAGTGAATGTAATTATTTGTTTCTAAAGCAGATTTGCAGAAGCACTTTGCCTTTCCTGACCACTATTCTCCTGCAAACACTTCAGAGGTTGCTCCAGTAGCAAATTCACCTATCATTGTGTTGTCTCTCTTCTTGTCCTTACAGTGTCAGAATGCTCAGTTAAAAAGGTAAGTTACATACTCTAAATAATTCCTTTGATGCAACTAACTTTCTTGATCCTTGGAGTCTTTATTGACTCTTCTTTTTCTTCATTTTCCACTTATCACATCACCACACCCTGACTATTCCTCTTCCTCCTCAGATTTGCCTTTTTCTGAGAGTATTCAGGTCACCACTCTCCATCTCTTATCACCTCACATGTGGACCATGACAACGGTCTTCCAACTGGTCCCCCTGCCACCCTTCTTTCCCCCTAATTCTTCCTGCATCTGCTACCAGATGAATATTCCAGCACTTTCCCAGCCACTTTATTTCTTATTATTCCTGCACACACATTCCTGCTCTTGCTAGCCAAATATGCTTGTTATCAGCTAACTAGGACTTGCTTATTTCCCGCTCAATCTTCACACATGCTATTCTTTGCACTTGGGAAATTGCCTTTCTTCCCCACTGTTCTCTCTATTCCAAACTTGTGTCTTGCCCAATTTGGGACTGAATCACCTTACTTCACTTATTTACTCTACATATACAATATTCATTTTCCTACACTGGAATGTGTTTGCAAATACTCCTTTCTTCGTGCATATGATGTATAAACTATTTGAAAACAGGGACTTCAATTTTTTAAAAATATTTCTGTTACACTTTATGTAGTGGACAGTACACAGTGGGCACTCAATAAATATTCATGACTGACTTTAGTACCATATGGGGAAAATGTGGTTGATCAAACAGCAGTGAAGATTTGGGAAGACAAGTTTAGATGAGTGTAGGTGATTTTACAAGTTGTGATCTCACAGTAATTAAATAGAGTGCTGGATAACCTTCCTAAATTGCCTATGTCTGATTTCAGTTCTATAAAGGGCAAGTTGGAAAGAGTTTGAACAAAATGATTATTGTTTATCAAACATTCCCATACATTCATCAGAGAGCCTTAACGTTCAACACTGTGACCTCCTATCAAACATCTTAGAGCAAAAACGCATGAGTAACAGAGAAGTTGAGCCAATTTTCACCATTAAATTCTCTCCTAGAAAAGAGCAACAACAATTTCAAGTGTTCAAACTTAACTGGTCACTATGGAGCTATTTTCTATATTAACTTCACTCCAGTTTTATCAGTTCACTACCTCACCTTGGGAAATGAATACAAGAGGTATAAAGATTTATATGTACAATTTTCAGGATATTTCCCTTGGTCATTACTTAATTTTCTAGAAAACACTTTGTGAAAACCAACCAATTTATTTAAAAATAAAATGCCAAAGGGCAGTAAATGTTTGAAACCAGTGGTTCCATTCTCTTGTAAGCCCTTCAATCACCAAGTGGGTTAGGAAATCTCTTTCCCTTTCTAGCCAGAATTTCCTTTTTTCCCACACATGCTATTTTCCGATTTGTTACAGAAGTAATCTATAGGATACTACTCATTTCCATGTCCTCTTGAAACTCCTCTATAAACTTCTCTTTCATAACTGAACTGTTTCTCCTCTCATTGCAGCCCATTTCCTACTTTTAAGTACTGCAATATTTGCCATCAATCCTCAAAAAAATATCAACTTTTTACATGATACTACCTTGGGTTCAAGCCTTAGCAGAAGCTCTCAAGTGTCTTTGTACCCATTTTTTTAAAGTAATTTTATTGGAATTATAATGGTTTATAACATTGTATAATTTCAGGTTGTACCCATTTTTTTTAATGAGTGATTAAAAGCAGATCTAATTGGATCTAATTCAATTAAGACTTACAGGAGGTGAGAAGAGATACTTTTTTACTTCTTTTCAGGAACCACCCAGCTACTTTTCAGAGTCTCCACAGTTAGATTAGAGCCCATAGATTACCAAACTTGCTAGATTTCCTATTTTGCCAAATTAAAACCATGTACAAGTTGTCCATCTCCCTGAGCATTATTTATTCTTAATACAGTTTTCATTTCCTATACATCTATTGCTTTTGTGAATTTCTCATTTGTCTAATAATTTCTGACATTTTCAGAATTTTTCATCTTAAAATAGCCTCAGTATTAAAAAGTAAGTATACTGTTGATGGCTGAGCTAAATAAATTTGCTATTAATGTATGGGAACTATTTGCACAAGTATTTTTCTAAGTTTCCAAAATCCATTTCAATGAAAAATTGAGAAGAAAAATTTTTCCCACTGTGAAAGCAACTGGAAGAATACATCATGTTCTAGACTAAATACTTATTATACCTTTATGGGCTATATCTTTTAAAAATCTCTGATAAAAATCAAATTTTGAATTGCCATCTAGAAATAAATTTTTATAGATAGTGTACACATTGGTTCCTGAAAATGGTAGAAAAGGTTTCTTGTCAAGTTCCCCAGCACAAGTGTGAATGCTCTGTTTTTGAATACCTCCTAGTAGTGAAAGGACACATTGTGGCCAGCCAACTCAAATTGCTACCCACGTTTAATCATTGTAAATAAAGGAAGCAGAGAGACCCATGTTATATTTTCAGAACTGGCATGCTCAATACAGAACTATTAGTTTAAAAATACCACTGAGCATTCTATTTGAATTAATCTAGACTTCTTTGAAAAACAAAATAATAAAAAGTACAATTGGTCACTTAAACATATACTACTCATTTCATGCAGATTATTAACTTAGTAATTACACATATCATTAAAGAACAATGAGAATAAATACAACTTTATAACACCTAGAAAAAGTTCAGAATTGATAAATTTCCATTTTAAAATGCCTATAGTTTTTACAGAAGCAAAATCACCTTTCTTGGTGGAAAAAATACACCTATGAAACACCTATATGTGTTGAACAGGACTTTTCCAAGGGAGCAACTGATTGTCCCACTGTGAAATAAACATGTATCACTGCTAAGCTTTCACATACTGTTGGTGCATAATGCATTTTCTGAGCAGCTGGATATAGAAAAGCAACAGAGAAACAAGTACTTTGAACAAAACACATGGATCACAGGGAATCAATAATGTAAAGAGGTTAAAAAATAATCAAAACATATTATCGAATGTTCTCGTATACATTTGAGTTTCACAATTTCACAAGGTCTTGGAAAATTCTTAATTTTTACACAATGTGTACATTTGTCCTTTTTTATATTTGTCCGAAAACATGATTTAAGAACCATTTGCAAAATGCCAGAATCAACCTTGAATAACAGTTGACCCCCACAGGCATCTCGGTGGAGAGCACACCAAAATTGATTAATTGGAAAGAACATGGAGTCATAACCCATAATAAATCCTGGCATAGGGGCACATTCCTTACAGCAAGTTTATAATATTTTAGATTATTCACAGAGATTTTCTGGTATGGTACAGTCACAGTCACAATGTGAGGGTGTTGAAGTTTAGTCTATAAAATATACTCTCTGAAGCACCAGGAATAGAGATACTTCTGCAGAAGCCTTGTACACATGGCCAAGCAGATATTGTGTATGTACAGAATAGTCTGTTTCACAATTACATTTCAGATGAGAATCACTGCAATTGCTGCTCTACCGCTAGCAAACTTGAATCATTTAGCACTTCAGCTGTGAATATTGTTGTTTTACTTCTTTTCTACTGCTGACACCAGTCAATATGTATTTAAATTCAAACTCCAACGATGCTGAAAAAACGTAGAAAGATGCTCACATCTTCGTATAAAGCTTATAGCAGGTCAAGAGATCATTTGGAAAAAAGTCCAAATGCGAATTTGTTAGCAAACAATAAAACGTGCACTTTAAAATGTGCTTTCAAATTTGTAAAACTTTTGAAATTGGCTAGAATGCCATAAGAGTTGTTCAAAATCATCAAAAGAACTAACAGCCTGTCTATTCATTTGCTTAAGAAATGCACATTCTTTACCTACCTACCAGTTTGCCTACAGAAGATGTGCTTGCCTAATAAAACTAAAAGCTGTCATTATGAGTTGTTGGTTTAGTCTACAGAAGTTGTCCATTATGTTGAAGAAGTTCTAAACATTTCAATCACAATTTTTCTTAACTGATTTTCCTTTACAAACAATCTTCAAATGGAGTGCCTCAACATTTTCTTGATAACTCCTGATTTTTTAGTTATTCTATTGAAGTTCTCTTCCCCCTTACACTTAGTTCAAAATTTTCAAATTCAATTAAAGTCTTTAAGTTTTCCTTATTTCAAATAACATATAAATACTGAAATATTCATAGATATGGGGAAGATAGCTCACCTCCTAAGCTTGCAGTCCAAGTGGTAACATAAAACCTACTCTAAAACAATAGGATTTTAAAATTTTTCTTTTCAGGAAGAAATCAAAACTGTACATTGGAACAAGGTACTATACTACAAAAGCAGGTCCTCTTTCCCCCCACTATTCTGGAAATGTAAACAAAAAAATTTAAGTACAAAAGCGATTTCTGTGCCTTTAGCTTCGAACACTTTTTCAGCACCTCAATGTTCTAGGTGCACTTTATGCTTGGTATAGGAGAAATTCTGGATGGTCACATAGCTGTTCAGAGGACTTTAGATTTTTCACTACCAAATATCACTGGTGAAGCTAAGCTCTTTGGATGATAAAGGTAGCAGGGAACTGTTCCTATGAAATTCCTGGGTATCTTTCAGGGCATTATTAAGGGGTAGCTGTCCATTGAGTAGCGTCAGAGGCAGATTACAATAAGTGTGGTGGTTGCCTAAGGAAGGTACTGGCAAGGTGGTGGCTGGCATCTCATGTTTATAACCTCTGCAACAGTGCCTCCTTTGCATCGAATCTGAATGCTGGAAATCAGGGAGGTCAGCTTGAGATGACACCAGAGAGGCCGAGGTACTGGTCATGGCAATAGAGGGTATAGGCTGAAGTTCTCCAAAAAGTCCTTGTTCTGCAGAGTCCAGAACATGGCACTGAGAAAGCATTTCATTTTTCCTGATGGGCATTTCATATATTAAGTGCTTCCAAAACTTAGAATTTAATTTGCTGCTTTTGGGTCCCTTCCACTTGATCAGGGATAAAAGTTTGATGCTGCGCTTTAGTGATTCCACTTCCTGGCAATTCACCTTTCCTTTTAATTCTGTACACTCAATCAAAATCACTTTGATTTCTCCACTGACTAGCATGTTATGGAGTCTGCTTTCCAATTCGAAAATACTCCATCCTCGTCTGAGAACATAGTCTGGAGTTAGCACGATAATAAGTCTTCTGCTTTGCTCAACATATCTTGTGAGATCTTCAATGTATGCTACAAATCACAGAAAGAGAGAAAGAGTAAAACAAAGACATTTCCAGTCTTTAAAGTATTTGCATGCTAGTATAGCAAAGATCCAGTCTTTCACTAAAGTACATTACAGTTTCTTTTCTTGTATTGCACATTCAGAAATCCCATTTACTTAAAAATAAAAATTTTAAAAACTACTTGTAATACTTATCTTCTTTTCCCTCATCATTACTTACAGTGTTCTGTTGGTTAATGTAAACTCTGACTTCTTCAGAGCCTAGCGGTACTCCTGTTATTTTTATTTACTTAATCATTTAATTCAAGGCAGGCATCCAAGCTGTTACTCTAAGTGAACAAGCAATCAATGGGTTGATGAAAAGAGAAATGGAGCCTTTTAATGAATGAAGGATCACTGGATTCATGGATTTGATTTGCTTTCTCCCCTAGTTTTCAACTACTAAGTAAGTAGGGGGTCTATGTATATGAACTACTTCAAAGACAATTGTGATAGAGATGGTGGAAAATATCTTCTAGAATCATAGCTTGTTTCTCAGAATACCTTCTGTTATTTGCAACCTTAGGTTCTCCATTTTGCCCTTCAAACCCGGAGACAAGGAAGTGGTGTGTGTCTGCCCATGACGTTAATTTGAACCAGCTGCTCTTTGTTCAGAGGAAGCGTGAGGGGTGGAATTGGAGGTGGGGGATGGTGTGCAATGAACAGTAAAGGAGGAGGAGTTTATCAACTGAGAAGTCTTTGCTCTATTTTGTAGAGCAATTGTGAGAGTGAGGTGAATATGTTATGGCCTTTTCACGGTAGAAAAACACTCAACTAACTCTAGATTTATTTATCGTATGGATTAATTCTTTTCCAATCATGCTTCCCAAAGTCTTATCAGCCAAAAAGGGAAACACACACATGTGTTAACAAATGGAGACTTGGACACAGGTGCTGCAACAGAGAGCTGTCTTTACTAAGTAGAGCACAAGGCCTTGTCTAATGTACAGTGCCCTCTAGCAGAAGCAGTGCTTACAGAAGCATAGCAACATTTGTCACTACAAATCTGCTCAAGGTTACAGACTGCTTTCAAGGAGTCACGTCCAGTACATAGTGTGGGGCCCCAAACAGCCCAGTACAAGCCATTTGAAAAGAGAAACTTCTTTTACAGATGCATATTTTACAGATGATCTCTCTTTTCCAGGGTTTAATTTCCACTACTTGGCAGCAAGAACACTTTCACAAGTGAAAATGAGCAAACTTTCTACACACCCTACAGATAAACAAAAAAATTTTTAAGAGATACACATAGAATTGCTCATTTAACAATTCGTTGTTACCACTGTTTTAGTTTTAATACATTTCAGGACTTTCTCATGCAGTAGTTACAATGATCTCAGGGGATAAGACAACTTCTAAGTGGGGAGTGAACCTCTTAAGACTTCTAAGCATTTTATTTTAGAGATTATGTATTCAGGGAAAAAAATCAGCATTGAAATATGCTAAAAAATAAAAACAAAAACACCACACAAGTAGCATTGGGGAAGTTATAACTCTGTAATTATCATTTAGAGAACTGGTGAAACAGAATGGAAGGAAAGGTAGAAAGTTTCAATAGAGTGGAAAAATATTATTCCAATGTATCAACAGCTCTGACTCTTCATTTTCTTCCTTTCTTTCTGCTCCCAAAAAGAAAGAAGTTATGTGGGAAGCTTCATCATTAGAAGTTGGATCTGTAAGATACAGTAAAATAAACTATCATGCATCTTTCCCATTATTCTTTTCACCTTTCCTCCAAACAAATCAAAACAAAACCCAAACCCAAAATCATGGTATAAGTGCAGGAGTCCATAAAATTGCAGTTTTACCAGGTAAATTATGAGTTGTTAATTTTATAGAGGAATTCTTTACAAAATAATTTACCACAGGGTTATTCCAAGTAGTATTCTTCCCTTATTAATTTCAGCTTTTCATTTAATTTTAAAAAATTGATCTTTACAAACCTTGTCAGGAACACATCTGTAACATAAACTCTACCTCTACGAACAACACTATTTCTATGTGTTGAAATACAGTTTATCTTTTAACTATATTGTACTTTTAAAAATAAAAGGTATATCTATACATATCTCTATCTACTTAACTGAAAAAGATACAACCCAGGTGTCCACAGTTATAAGAGAAACTACACACATACATACTAATTAATTTGATTGGGATCTCATGGGCTTTGGCTCTATCCTCTTTCTCAAAAGGGTAAGGGAATAGGGTGCAATATTTTTCCCATTAATATGGTTTCCCCCCTTCGCCTGTCTATTATATTTTGCTATTTGACAGCTAAGCAGCAAAATGCAACATTTAGGGTTTTGGGGCTTCTTACAGATTCATTAGATAGAATTTTAATTTGCCCCCGGAAGGAATGCCTGTGAGGACAGATCCCATTACGCTCAGCTGCACAGGGTGTGGGTGTTGAAGGGAACCTTGGAGAGAGGGAGTGGTCCCTGTCTCCTGCATACTACACTGACTGTGCTTATACTGGCAAAGCCTAGTGGAGAGTTGAGGCAACCATCCAGATAATTCCAGCTGAAAACCTGCTGTGGAAGAAAAAAGGTCTGAATTATCCTGGTTTGCCCTACATATACATTAATCATATGCACTGGTGTTAGTACATCAAAATTTTCCCTGGGTAGACACAGCCCAAGTGTCCCAAAGAAAACACAAGCCATTTGCTTGGGCCCTGAATTTCGTGTTCCATTTCACTTGGTGAAAAACCAAGTGGAAGTTTTCAGATGTGAAGCCCACATTTCAGTTTTTGGGATGGTGATCAGTGGCTGGGCAGCAACCTCAATGTTTGAAAGCAGCTGGGGAGGTGCCTCTAAGAGCTGCTTGGCCCTAAGGAAAAGAAGGAGAGATTGTGCCCTAGCTTCCATATTCTGGCACTCTCTCTGTTTTTCTCTCTCTGTTTTTCTCTTTTTCTCCTCTCCTTTGCTCCTGTCTACCTTTCTTTTTTCTTCTTCTGTCCTGTCTCTCTCTTGTCCTTTTACTTCCTCTTTGCTTTCTTTCTCACTCTCTCTTTCTGCCTTTCCCTCTCTTATTCTCTCTTCCTTTCTTACCTATCTTGCTTTGCCCTCGTCCTCCCTCCCTTCCTAAGTCTCTTTTTTTTCTTTCTCTTCATCATTTGGAAAAAGCAATGACCTAGCCATCATGGAAAATATAAGTAAATTAGCAAGAGGCCAAACAGGTAGAGTTAATATTTTTCATTTGCTAATCTTTAGCCAGGGAGTTGTTTCTGGTTTCTATGTAGCAAGTGCTCAAAATAATTTCCTCCTTACCCCAGGGTTGCACGTCTGTATCCAATGACTGTGCACTGGAGCCTGATCCACTAGGACCATGTCTTGTTTTTGTATGGCCTGTGAGCAAGAACCATTTTTTTTAAACATTTTGAAAGGGTTGTAAAAAGGAAAAAAATAAGACTATGATACAACAGAGACCATATATGACCCACAAATCCTAAAATATTTACTATCTGGACCTTTATAGAGAAAGTTTGCCCCCTCTGAATTAGAAACCAATCAGGGTGTTTAGGTTTGGAAAAGTTCCAAATAAGCTAAGCAGAAACAGGTATCAAGTTAAGACATTGCTGGTCCACAGCTAGTGTAGTCTCTGACAGGCAGTGGTGTTTGCCATGGTAGGGCTGTGGTTTTGTGGCAGACATTTTAGAAACCTTCAGAAACTGTTTTAAAAAGCAGGTTACCACGAAGAGATAAAGAAACGTTTTTCAAAAAAATCCCTAAATCCACAGCACATACGAATACTCGTTAAAACTTGCCCTGACTTGTTCAGGCACATTTAGCAACTGAGTAGCAGGAATCCCTTAAAAGATGGTCTTTTTCCCATAAGAATATAAAATATTGCTTATGTGAAAGGTTATTAAGTTATTTTTTTGCAAATTTTGGTTTCAAGTAATTTATGAGGACAAAAAAGATTAAAAGAAGTTGTGCCTTATAGCCTTCTTCTTCTCTAGACAAGGCTGTGAAACCACACCAGGTGATCAGACAAAAAACAAAGCTAATTACATTTAACCTACGTGTGATATTCACAATTTGGTAAAGGAAAAATTCCCCTGAACATAGTTTTGATAGGGGTGCTTAAGCTGGTATAAATTCATTTTTCATATTATAAGTGCAACTGCAAAGAAACTTTCCCTTTTGTCTCTACTGGGAGTTGACGGAGAGTTAGGAAAATATTCCAGAAGAAAATGCATTGTGACTGGCCCTCCTTGGGATGTGTACCTATTAAAGAAATGAATAAAAGTCATGCCAGTAGCACAAGTTTTTGTAGCCAACAAGGAGAATGACTACCTAAAACCATATTAAAAGCAAAGCAAATTCAATTTTAAAGTCCCTTTCAGGGGCAGTTGTATAAACCAAAATTCCAGGGCATTTAGAAAAGTAGGATTAGATCTACAAAAGTGACTTGAAAATAGGACACATTAACAAAGCAAAAAAGTAAACTGAAGGAAGCAGTAAAGCAACAAAATAGAAGCAGGAAGAATGGCAGCCCGACGAAATTGCTTCTAATGAGATGTATATCCTTTTTTAAAAGAACTCAGTATTCTCCTAAATCGCAGGCTCTGAATATGCTACAGATGTAGGCAGAAGGGCAAAGGAGAAAAATGACTATATTCATGACTTTCCCTCTGGTCTTTCTACTGCCTACTAACCATCCGATTTATCAAACTAATCAATTAGCTACTGGTAAATTATTTTTTGTGTTGACACTTCCACTTATGTCAGGGTCATTATTAGGGGCAGTTAGCATATTAAAAAAGTTGAAAGACAAATACTTAGCCTGTAGACAAAGGCATCATTTATCACTTTACCAGGTTAAAATAATAGTAGTTTGATATACTTATACCTACAGCTATGTACATGCACTATCAGTTAAACAGACAAATCATTAGGGTGAGACAGGATGCATCAAAACAGACAATACTCCATTAATTTTGGGTGAACGTTAGCTAATCGAT